CCCCCCCCTCATATGTGGCTTGTACCACTTGCCCAAAAGACCCAGAGGGTCGTGATAATAGCCAGACCCCTCCCCCCTCGAGCGCCAACATCCCGTGTTCCTGCTCGCCACCTGAAAAGCCGGCACCTTAAAAAGTACACGGCGGTTATTGAAGGAGCGACTCCATCTCTGAGGCTGCACGTCTAAGCCAATAAGGGCTCCATTAAGAGGTTTAAATTCCGCCCTGGACACGCAGCGATGAGCCGAAATAGATTATCTGGCACTTCTGTCTCTAGCCTGAGGTACACAGGAAACGAATCAATATCCATCTGCCCGGTGAGTGATGGATTTACACCATGGCATTCGTTCTTTGGTAATAAACTTTACCACAGGCCGACAGTGGTGGCGTGGCGCTGGCGTACCGTCAAGCAGGCGTTTAGCCCTGCTATCTGGTCAGGGTCGGCCTGCCCAGTGGGACGGCCTGTTAGCTGAGCTACCATGTGAAGTGGATGTGATCCGAAAAGGGACCAGCTTGACCTAACAATGCTAATATAGTGCCACCACCTGGGCAACACTGCTAGTTTGCCAGGGTCAAACTGAAAGGTAGAATTTGGCTTTGGCAAAATCGATATGAAGAAACAGGCAGAGTGGAAGACGGCTAGATGCCTCCGGAAGGCCCCTTTCACTGTTCCGTCTATCACATGACCAGTTTGTTTTCTCTGCACAAATACCTTTTGCAGAAATATTGCATCACAGCTTCACTGAGACTGACTGGCTCTTACCGGAGGGAGGCTTTGCCGTGTTTGTTAAGAGTGGACCGCTGTCTGGAGAGACGGTGGCAAAGCTTCTGGTTCTCTCACATCTCAGGTTACTCAGCTGGTAAAATGTGAAGGATTATGCTAAAAATTAGCCCATTAAGTTTGTCGTTTTCTCTTCCAAAGGGAACCCTGACGTAATGACCAAAGGATCAAGCTGTGTCAGAAGGCATCCAGTGAAGAGTCCATTTTTATTTAATTGAGTCATATTTCATCAAACTCCAAAGACAAATATACGCATCATAAGGGTATTAGCCATTAAAACTGCGCGCTAGCAGACTGGCTGGTATTCATATCCACAGGGACTGTAATTAACCCTAGGATGTCTGCCACCGCGGATCCCGCCACAGCGCGTCAGACAGCGCAGCTGTTTGCGGTAACAGCTGTGCTAATACAGGGTGATGACGTACAGGGAGGGGCCCACACATCACAGATTCCCAGAGCTCCCGGATGGCAGCACCACCTGCTGGTGGGAGGATAGAAGGTGTGGCCACTCTCAGGGACTAATTAACCATCAGTAGCCGGCTGGGGAAAAACACCCTCCCATCGCGTGAGTTTGGTTTTACACACACGGGGGGTGCGAGGGTGGGACCTGTGCTTCAGGGTTAGTGTCCATCTTAGGATATTGAGATGATGAAGTGGGATCCACCCACATAGAGCTACCTGATTATCATACAGACACACATAGATACAGATACACATAGATACAGACACACATAGATACAGACACACATAGATACAGATACACAGACTGACGCCAAGGCATGAGGTAATAAACTGGAAGCTGGTTTCTGGGATTAAATGGGGGAGCTGGGGGGGTTTTGCACTTTTCCTGTGTTCCCTATCAGAGCGCCGGGCTGTTCTCCTGAAGACTGGAGCCCCAGAACCTCGCTGCAGACATGGTCATTAGCCTGGGCCAGTGATGTAACCCAGTGTCACCATGGCAACATGGAGGCTTGGCCGCTGGAGGGGTGATGGAGCGAGGAATGGGGCTGGGGGGCGGGGGGATCGGTACCTCGACACCATCGCTTACGCCGTATGAGTCACGCCGGACCAACTGTGCATGAACAACACGAAAACATGCACACACACACAGACACACACACACACACAGGCTGAGACACATACACAAACTGAGACACACAAACATGCACACACACACACACAGACACACACAAACATGCACACACACACAGAAACACACACAAACGTGTACTCAGGTGCACACAAAAAGACAAACACATGCACTCAGCTACACACCCACAAATGGATAAACACACAGACACACATGCATGGCCGTCAATCAGTCCCAGGAACACTGGCTCAGCGCCCCCCCCCCCAAAACAAAATGACACCTCCTCTCGCCACAGCTTGAGCTCCTGCTCCTGCCACTGTTGTAATTATAAGGTAATTACTGGTTCCAGCGATGCCCGCTCTGTGTGGGGGAGGGCAGTAATTACAGTTTCTTCTCTGCCCCTGTTCTCTAAAGTGGCCAGGCGCACACACCCCCCCCCCCTCCTCCCACAGCACGTGCCTGAGAATTCAGAATGTTTACCCAACACAGACGGGTGTCAGGAACAGCCCCCCCCAACACACACACAGGGCCTATGTCCGGCCCCAGTGACCCACAGACTGACATCTGACACATTTAGTCTTTTCCGTTGTCTGGTTAACATGCTGCCGTTCATATGACATTGCATGGCATCACCCTGTCCTACGGCATGTAATGCCGCACTGGAATGTGGCCACGCTGTGACATTTGCTAAACGTGGCACTGTGACCCCAAATAATTGCCGTGTTCATTTCACTGAAATAAATCAAAGCTGAAATTAATCTGATATAAACAGATATGCACATAGATGCAGAAACCACACATGCCTACACAACATGCAAACACAGACACACAGACACACACAAGACAGACTCCAGGGTTTTACAGCTGCCGTTGCCCCTTGGAGGCCTGTCAGCACCATGGGGCCTGGAATAAACTACCAGCCTCTGGTCACGTGGTCACACGGACAGGGCACGTGGGGGGTGGATTAGGACCTGCTGGGTGGGTGGCAATGACTCACTTCCAGGCATGATGGGTCCCCCCTTGAGCTACCCAAAACCAGGCTAACGCCGGCCGGCCGACAGCATCCGGGGTCCGAGGCGCTGCCCATAACCGTGAACCGTCCCTGACCCGTCCCGACACGCCAGGGCCGCCTGCCCGCGCAGAACACACCGGGGACACACCGGGGAACACGCCCACTCCGCGTTCGGGACAGAGAGCAGCGCTGTCAAACTCCCCGTCACAGATATGCGACATGCAGCCTCATGACTGCTCTGCGATCGCTATTTATAAAGATCCCAGTCAGGGGGATAAAGGCTTAAATAAAACATCGCTTTTCTGACAGGATTTTCTGTCCCAGCCTCAGCTCAATGAGCGCCTTGTGTACAGCTGCACCGAGCTGCCCTGTGGACTGCAGTGAAAGTGCATCCTGCAAACAGAGGCTTTTAACAAACCCCTACAAACAGTAACGTTTGAAGGCGCAGTGATTACGGCGCGATAATGGAAACGGAGACGAATTCCGGCTGTTTCAAGCGGAAACATCGCAGATGTCTGCATGCTCTGTCATAAACCAGGACAGGATAACTCCGTTTTAACAAAGAGCACCGCGGCGCCAACATCACCGGATAGTTTCCATTCCTTACCCCCCCCCCGGTAAGCAACACCGCAACCTGTCAAATTTACACGGCATCCATCTATTCGCACTCCTATCCTATCTATTCGTGGCACAGGTGTGCGCTCTTTGCCAAGGCACCGGTTTTATATCCACGGGACTGTAGATAATACTGAGCGCGCCCCCGCGGTTCGGCGCGCACACGCACGCCAGCAGCGCCGCGAGCGGCTCCAGATCATTAGTATTCCGGGCCATCCGCGCCCTTTGTCAGAAACGCAGCACTTGGGGGAGAACTGAAGGGAGCAATGTTGGAGAGGTGGCGCGAAAGGCGCTGTTTATTTAATTTCTCCCACTAATTTAAAGTCCCCCTGAACTGAAGCTTTACGGCTGGGGGCGCCGGCAGCGAGGCCGCATGGACAGGGAGGGGGGAGGTCTCGCTCCGTGTTATCACATAGTGCCGCACTACACAATTAAATCTGCATGAATATTAAACTGCTATTTAAATTCAGCTCTCCTTGGAGAACAGGGGGGAGTGAATCACGTTGTGAAGCACACTAATAAAATGACTATATATCACAGTTATGTACGAGGGTATATCATTTCTGCATGGTCTGTCATCCAAATAACAGGCGGACATTATCGGTGCATAAACCTTAATATTGCCGAACAACTTTGCCCTGCTTGGCCTCTGCATTGTAATACGCTGCGCCCATAAAAAGAAATAACACTGGATTTACTCCGGCTTCAATACAATAACGACTCTTAAAAATCAGTTTCAACTGCAAGAAACTTAGTAATAACGAGAAAACTTTCCACACCCAAAACACGGTAGGCAAATAAATTTTTTGTTCCTTGCTTTGTTCTGCAGAAAAAAATGTGGCAGGAGATTTAATTAAAAACCATCACACAAAATTAACTACAATATAGTGAAGATTTCCATGACAGTTAAGAAGCGATAGCAGCGTCTAAATCAGACCGTCCCGCATAAGTTTTTCTGGGTTTAGTTAAACTGCTTATCGCTTAAAACTTTTACATACTTTTTAGCCCGAGCTAATAATTGTGAAATATGAAATACTGGGTAACACCAATGCAAACTCCCTTGAAGACAAGAGCCTCTCTCCCCCGGCTTCACCCTGCGAACGGAGCCGATCCGGTTCCAGTGTAAACAAAAGGCTCATTACTCATTTTAATTCGACTTAAAGCCGCAGCCGGTGTGATTTAATTCAGCACACAATGGGAAAAAACCAAATTCGCCGAGTTCGCCATAAAAGGCCACGCTTGCATGGGACTCCGGGCGCTCTTTACTGTGATTTATTATATGTGGGGGGCCCGTTATTTTGCGCTTGGGGCAGTGGAGCGCCAGTCACATTATAAACGCTTCAGGACATCTTTACTAGAGAACCGACCAAGGGGCAGAAAAAGGGGCTATCCGAAGCGCTGCTTTACTCTTATAAAAGTCTCCACCGTCTACTTTAGTGAAGAAAACCTCCATCACTCCTGAACAGACGAAAGAATACGCAAAAACTTTTTTTAAACAATCAGTTAAAATTTAATTAACTTCTTACCAGCTGCCGTCTCAGAGTCAGGTCGTCTTGGCTCCGGAGCTGAGCAGAAGCAGCCGAGCGGGGAGGCTGGAGGTCGCCCCAAGCGGGCTGCCCCGGGGTGGCGTCCCCGAGGGACAGGGCGCTGAGCACCAGGCATTCCTGCCTCTGCTTCAGCAGCTCCAGCTCGCACAAGCCGGCGAGGCTCGCCTCCAGACGCTCCTTATTCCGGCTGCGCTCCGCAGACATCGGGAAGGAGAAAGCACGGTACATGCCGTCCTCCCTCTCTCCTTTCTTTTTTTGGACAAAAAAAGACCCGCAGATACTTTTCTTCCACAAGCCGCCGCTATGAGACCTCCCTAGCCGTGCCGTAACTTACTGAGGAGTTGCTTTGCACGGGCTGCTATTGCACAGTGTGCATTTCCATTTTTAATGCAGAGCGACGTTAGTACAGCTGCGGCTGCGGAGCACCGCCACTCTCACCCCATCCCTCTCTCTACATCTAGATGATTTTCCTCTCGCAGCTGTCAAATGCTTATTAGTCTTCTCCTCTCCCTTGGATTCCCATTGGCTACAAGGGTCTAACAATCGCTTAATATTCATGAGTAGGCCCGCCTCCAGGCACACCGCTTGCCATCGACTGGGCGACAGCTTGCGTTTTGCATAAATTGTCCCTCTCTTCGCATCGGATTCGCCCGGCGCAAGTAAGGGTCCCGCCCCTTCCACATAGCCGGACCCCCCAGGGAGCCCGTTGACTGGGAGAGTGGTTATTCCAGCGTCGCATTCTGAAGATTTCACATGAATGAATTGCGCGCCGATGAATGGCGGCGCGAGGGGCGTCCGTGGCAGATGCAGGCCACCATCGGGACATACGTAGCGCTTTTTGGGAGCCATAGTCTTGGCAGTCTGCTCAGGTAACATTATAATCAAAAGTTTAATCAAGAAGAAAATAAAGAGAAAAAAAAACGCTTGTACATATATTTAAAAAAACAAAAAACAAAAACAACATAATATGCTACCTTCTTACACCGGGGAGAGACAATTTAACAAAAGACGCTTTTGTCCAAAGCGACATAGCAACGTCACAAACATACATGATGTCACCAGGGCTACCAACTCAAAAGCATCTGGCGTGACAGATAGGCTATCAGAGGCTCACGCAAAAAATCTTACGGCAAATCTATACATTATTCCACTATAAAATTAGCTACATCAAAGCGTCGGAGTAGTTTGCAAACCCTACATACTATTTACAAGGTAATAAAACTCTTACATACATGTCAATGCGCGTGCAGACTTGTCTCGAATTGAAAATCTTTCTCCAGCCAGCTGACCAAAGCTGGCAACCCTGTGTCACGGAGTGGACCAGGCACAAGTGCAGCTAATCTTAAAGCAACTGCACAACTAAAACACCCTATTATGAAGCCATTGCGTGTTTCACTTCCACTCTAGACTGTATACAGCATCATCTCTGCTAAGGGTGGTGGCGCGTGCTTAATCTGAGGCTATGTATAACCCTAGACTCCCAGTATTTATGGGAGGGAATGATTTTTGGTACAGCTGCATCCCCCTCCCATTAGTTTAGTGCTGCTCTTACTTTAAATACAAATAATTTATAAACCACACACAATTCCCAGTTCTCTGCCTTCTCTGTTCATGACCAACCCGACTGTCCGTTAGACTATTTTTTATTTCTGCTCCGGCGCTATGTGTCGCGGGGGCTCCTAAGGGGTCTTAAATAGCGTGACTCAGCTCAGACCCTTCAGTCTCCCCCTTGTGGCCGCCATTGTTAGTTTTCAAACCACGCACAGACAGTCCGCATCCCCCCACCCCCCACCCCATCCCACCGGCCGTTTCTCTGTTCCTCACGCACTGACCCGGGCCTGCTTCCTGTCACTCAAAACCGAATGTGCGCAATAAAAAGGATGGCCTGTTCTTGTCCTTCTGTGAGAGGAAAAAATGACTCAGCACGATATATGCACAGATACACAGAAACAGCAAACCTTGAAGGCTGTGTGAAATACAAGCTTTATGAATGTTTCACATTCTTGTTTAAATAAAAAAAAATACAAGGTACATTTTAGCATAGTGCTTTACAGTATATTTCAAAGACAACAGAAGCAAAAAGAAACTATAAAAAATTCTATTTAAATATTTAATACCTTTCCCTCCATCGTCTGTTCTTTGAAATCGCAGACATCAGTTTCCATCTTATAACGATGTAGGTATAACGGTTAGATAATACTGTATCGTCAGAAAACAAATCAAAGGCATTAACTCATGGCTCCTCCAACAACAAGAAGCAACACTACCCTCTGGGTGTCATTTAAAATTACTGTTATAAGTCGACATTGACGGCACTTCAAAGAATAAAGATTTAGAGATGACGGTTCATTGGCTGGATTTTACTGCCCCATAGTGGCGGAAGCAGTCACTGCAGCTGAGTGACTTCTAGCATGGTTATGATGGGAAAATTAAGCTTTGAAAGCCACTCTGGGTGGGATTAGCAGTCACAGCTTGGGTCAACTTACTTGGAAAGAAAAGCAATGGGAAGTAGGTCAAGTAGGCAGTGATTGACAGCACACACTAATCCCGCCCAATTTTGGCTTCATAGTCTGATTCCTCCAATCACTGCAGTGACTGACAGCATGTTAATCCTGTCCGCTTTGGGTTTTCAATCCTTCTTCCTCCAATCACTACTGAGCAGACGGTGACTGACAGCACATACTAATCCTGCCCGCTTTGGGTTTCAAAGCCTCCTTCCTCCGTTCGCAGCTGAGCAGGCGGGTTGTGGGAAGCGCCAGGTGTTTGCGCAGACCATGGAGGATTTGAGGTAAACATTAAACTTCCTACTGAGGGATATAAGTAGAATCAAGAAAAGTGCCCTTCCAGTCACAGTGATTCAGCGACTTGGAAAGAATTTGAGTTCATTTGCATGTCAAGTATAAACCATCTTAGGCAGAGCATCAGTGAAAGTGATTGATTTTGGTTGCCTGTGCACCTTTGGGTAAGTGCCAGGTGACAGGTGCTGCTAGCTAATAGGCGCAGCATTATCTTCCTGACGCCTGACACACTGGAAGCCTACCTGCTCTCAGCTGCCTGCCGCCCTCCTCCTGGGTCACTTCCGATCAGCCATTCTGGTCCTCGCACTGGCCTCAGATCAGCTGGAACATTGGATTGTCATCCCTGTCAGACGTAGTCCTGTAAGATACTGGCAGTCTCACAGGAGATCTCCATACACCACCAGCATGTCAGCAGTCCAACTGGTACTCGAACCTACAACTCCCCCAGACACCTTATACCCACCTGATATCCAGTACAGAAATGTACAGAAATGTCACAGGCAGAAGGGCGAGCAGGCCGGAAAGACGCCACAGGCAGAAAGGAGGGCAGGCCGGAAAGACGCCACAGGTAGTGGAGGCATCACAGGCAGCAGGGAAGGCAGACTATCTTGATATTTTGGGGTCTCCAGGCAGCACAGCCCAGGAGGGGTAGGGAAAATAAAATCTGCAATGTTCAGTCTATGGCACCAATCTTCAGTAGTACAACCAGTCTTATTTTTTTTAACTTAAGTCATTTAATAATACGTTGTGCTCTTGGGTGAGACCAAAACACATCTCAGGAACAGCTTTAAATGGGTTTACTTTGTGCAAAAGGCCAGAGGCCATCCAACATCCGCTGTATGGCATTTTAAACCTCGGCCTGCGTCTGAGGGCTTCTATACTGAACAGGGGTGCTGTGTGGGTGTCATAACAAATAATGGCCAGCAGAGGTCAGGGTCAAAAACACTTTTGTTTAAATCACCTTCTGCGTTCAGTAAAATATGGGGTGTTTGAACCATATTATGCAACCATTGCTAAAAATGAATTTGTTGCTTGAATGATGCGCTGAGACACTGCAATGCTGAGACATGGGGACTTTAATCAGTACCTTTATTCATACATTTCATATGCCTCTAGCTCACATTTTCATAAAGCTGATTCAGAGTCCATGTCTACATGGAAATGAAACCACGCACAGCGCAGATTCTGATTTGTCTTTGTAGATATATACAGCATATACACACAATATATAGTATAAATATATTAAGGTTCGTATACATACATAGATCAAAACTGTTCTAAAAACAAACAAAAACATACATTTCCATTCTTTTTTTCCACCCCACATAGTTATTTAATGCCACAACACACCTGCGGTACATTTTCCTTAAAATATCACCATAAATTTCTTTCATAATTCCATTTCTTTTCTGTGTGTAAATACTGCATACAGATGCCTGCGCGTGAGAATGTGCATCAGCAGCACGGACATGGGATGTGACACTGGTTATGGGCGCGTGTCCCAAAACTTTGAGTTGACTGTAATGCCCCCTACAGGAGGACACTGGCAAACCGTGTGGAACCGTAGGGCCGTGAATATGTCGTCATGGAGACACTTCCCAGAATGTGCAACATCTATTAAAGCAGGCGCTCAGCCTGGGATTTCTGAGCATTCCTCTTTGGATTTCCAGTGATTCAACTGGATAGTGACAGCGGATCTTTCCGATTAGCTGGGCACCCCACTGGGGTAAATGTGCATGGAAGCTGGGCTACCATTGACTGGCACTTTATACACGAGGTCTTGTATGGCCTTGAATTCTTCCCTTAGATTAATAAAAATGAAAAGCATTAACATGAGAGGTGGCATTTTGGTAACATGGCAGCTGCACTTTTTCAAACCTGAAGTCAAGTTTATAATGGAAATATGGATGTGACGAGGAGTTAATTTAAAAACACAAGACAAACAAAACTCAATGGTGACAAGTGTGATGTGCAACAGGCCAAATCTTAGTAACAGCGCCACATAGGGGACAGGAGGTATCACTGTCACATATCACAACTAACTTCTATTACAGTTAAAGAATGCTGTCAGCTCAGTACAACTGGCATGCACTGGGAGGTGCTCAGGTGCAGCCAATCAAATCAGAGGAAAGCATGAGTGTTGAGAAATTGTAACCACTATTGGCTGAGCTGCCGTGCAGCCCCTCCCACCTCATTCCAGACACATCGGAAAGATTAGCTGCTAGTGAAGGACAGACAGATTACACAGATTCCTGGGTGGCGTTTTTGGCATAGGCATAAGACTAAGGCTTCAGTTTTCCTCTGACTGTATTAATCAAACTTAACGATGGCTGCAGCCAGCCTAGGAAGACAGGAAGCATGTTTATAAGGATGCAAAGACTCTTTCACTTCAGAAATCTGGGCATGAGACAAAAATGTGGCATTTCATGATGCTGGAACAGTCTGAATATGACACTTCCTGTAAATGAAGGTGGGTTTGGTGTGCATCAGTCCTACAGAGCACCGCAGATACACACCTGTTGTTTCTCATACTGTCCAAACAGGGGCTGAATGAAACACTGCGGTGCTCCAGAATTCACAGATTTGGTAGATTAAACTGGTTTCTGTGATCAGCCTGGTTTTCTTTGGTGATGTTTTTTTCAATCAGCTGGAAATGATAATAAAGATTTTGGTATCAAATAATCAGATCATTCTTTGATCTACCCTTCAATGTTTGAACCCATTGTGACCTCATTTTCTGTCACAAACGCAGGCTGTATGATACCCATGAGAGGACCATGTCCAGAGTGTCCCGTAGTGACGGCCAAATGAAGCTGCATGAGCCATTTTCTGACCCAACTAAATGGTGCTCTTGGTTTACTTTGGAGCATGGCTTTGAGCCCTTTCTTTTTTAACAGAGAGCACCACCTAGTGGTGTCAGACAATACAGCAAACGGTTCAAGCAGCTTCATTTAGCCATCATTAGTGTCCTGGCATATAGGAGGGCTGCAGGTCTGCTCTTTTTGCGGGAGGTTTGAAACCAGGATGCTTCAGATGACACTGAATGATTTATTCTAAATGGAGGGGTTTAGCTTTTTTACAGAAACATCTAGATGTGACATTTTCCTCTGTCAGAGAGCAGTAGTTTTGACCGTTATGCAAACAAATACCACAGGATAAAATGCATAGAACTCATTGGCTCATCCAGCAGGATGTGCGAGAGACACGATGCTGAATAGCACTGATGTCAACTCTCAAGATGCATTAGCCGCACGTGACGAGCGAGCCGTCGTAAAGGGGCCCGTGTGACCCTTGTGAACACAAGCAGCTCCCAGATCATAAATAACCTCAGAGCGGAGACGTTGGCTCCGGCGTCAGGGCCCATTAAGGGACATTCCTGTCCCTGAGTCACTTTATACGAGTGCAAGCCTCACATGCCACTTCAAGCACACTGCTCAGGTTCACGGACCGGGGGGAGGGGCCAGTCATTGTGCGTATGCTGGGTGCGGCTTCACGTCGCAAAGCCGCGACACGCTCATATACGTCAACCGGACAGAAAAGCAGCACATCCGGGCCCAAAGAGGCTCCGGTAAGGAGACGGGGGCCAATTAAATCTGGCCACCGTTCAAAGTGATCATAAAAATGACAGCAGATTCAATTGCCAACTGCTATTTTCAAGACAGGAATGACATCTGGCTGAATGACTGGCTGAAAATGAATATGACCGTAATAAATAATCTAAGCAACAGGTAGATACTAATGTCCAGGCTGGGGCAGTGCGCTGACAGGTCCAGTGTGGTGATACTGCCCCCTAGTGATGAGTCACTGGTAGTAGCCTTGAAAAGCATTAAATACTGTCCTGATGAAAGGGGTACAGTTTGACTTCACTCCTTCACATAATTGGGAACAAAAAAAGGACAAAGTAAGGACAAAGACAGACTGGCGGGCACGTCACGCCCAGTAATGCCAAATACATGGTATTGTCACTCAGCTGGAGTTCTTCAACCTCTTCTGTACATCATCACATCACATATATAATCCTCTTATTATTTAAATGTTTCCAGTAAAGCTATTCACAGTTTCTGAAATGAAATACTTGGAGAATAACAGTCACCTTACTTAGTTCAACTGCAGATTCCCTTTAAAATACCCCCCCCCCCTTACCCCAACCCTGACCTTGAAAGCCTCAGAGCACATGATTATTCACCAAAATCTGCTCGATTCTCTCACAGAGGTGAAAGAGTAACACTGATGCTGTTAGCTGCTGGCTGTTTGATCTGTAAGGCATGTCCTGATCTGGGAGCCAGCCGTGAAGAAAAAAAAAGCAAGAAAGAGCACAGACGGTGATGACAACATGAGAGAAGCGGCCATGATTCACAACTGGGGGGGGGGAGGCTTTCCAGAGCCCGTCTGGACAGGTCGCCTTTGACTGCATCATTATGTGCCGCTCTCTTTCAGATACCTGCTCGACAAACCTGTGTCATGTGACTCTCCCATCTACCCATAACCAAGTGCAGGAGCATCACTGCAGCTTCCAGGACAGCCACCGGGGGGCGCTGCGGTCTAATGGCGTTCCCGCTGGGCATGGTGATGGAGTGGGATCAGTGCAGTCTTTTGTCAGATTCTCGCTGGACATGGTTACCATGGGAACGGCGAGAATCTTTGATATGGTCCATGGATGCTTCATACCAGGACGACCAGCCTTGTAACACGATGGTGTCACTACGCCGCGGCCACACGAGGAATCGGGGAAACCAGCCCTGATTCCACCTGGCCGCAAATGCCATACAAAACCAATCAGTATAACTATGTACATGAGTACAGCTGTGTATCTCCATGGAAACCCACACCAAGATCTATGTTTGCATACTGATTGGTGGTAATTAACTTACGTGGTCCCAGATTTTCAAGGTAAAAAAGGGGATACTGCAACACTGACCACCGGGGGGCAGTCTACCTGGAACAGCTGAAGTAGACCTAGTCCTGTATGAACAGACGCTCCCTGGAAGGAGAGGGTCTTCACCGGGAGGAGGCGTGGCTGAGAGAGATTGGCTCTCTCTCTACTGGAGATAAAACCTCACAGCACGTCTCTAAAAAGGAGACAAGCTGACGGCTTGGGCCAAGCAGAGCAGCTCTGCTGTCTGGGAGGGACCGCCCAGCCGAGACACTGCTACGGCCTCCTGCCTGTCAGAGGTCAAAGGTCAGCCGGGCGCACTCCTGGGTTTAGTGGTACGACCCTGCGCTTTCCTCCGGCTCAGAGCTGTAGTCCTTCAGGATGATGCCCTTCTGGAGGTTCAGCAGCGACTTCTTCATCTGGGGGTGGGGAGTGGGACACGGAGGTGGGTGAGAGCTCAGTGGAGGATGCGGAAACGAATTAATATTCATGAGATGCTACATGATTGGCTGGTGAACTCTGTCTATGGTATTCACTGGCCAATCAGGTGGTGCTTACCTCATGAATATTAATAGGTTTCCCATAACCACCCTGTAATATGAAAATTTACCCCCAGATCGGCCCCCACCTGATCCAGGAGCAGCACCGAGGACCGCAGGATCTCTCTCCACTTCTGCAGCTCGTCGTCATGGTACTGCTGCTGTGACTCCAGCAGCTGCGCCCACTCTGCCTGCGTCTGTGGGAGCCTATCATACCAGGAGGGCACTCTGAAGATACTTATTCATACAACACTAAGACTGTCAAGCCAGCAGAGGGCACTCTACCTACATTTACTGACACAGCACCGACACCGTATAAAAATGAGAGAGGAGCACTCCTGATGTAAGAGACACTACGTGCTGTGATGCTCCTCGGGACGGCACGTACACGGTACCTCTCGTGGGGTCGAAGGCCTGGCCAGGCAGTGAGGCTCTGCGTTGTGTGCTCCAGCATCCACAGCTTGTAGAAGAGCATCATGTTGAGGAACACCAGAATAACAAGGCTGTGTGGAAAGATGGAGAACTAACTGAGTACACACTGAGTACATCAATACAGACACATCACCAGCAGAGCAAGGCTCTGTGGAGAGGGGGAGAACACACCAAGTATATACTAAGCACAGAGTACACAATGAGTACACACCGAGTATATACTAAGCACAGAGTACACAATGAGTACACACTCGGTACACAGATACAANAGTATATACTAAGCACAGAGTACACAATGAGTACACACCGAGTATATACTAAGCACAGAGTACACAATGAGTACACACTCGGTACACAGATACAAGCACATCACCAGAGCAAGATTCGTAGCGAGACAGAGTACACACTCAGTACACACCGAGTATATACTAAGCACAGAGTACACACTCAGTACACACCGAGTATATACTAAGCACAGAGTACACACTCAG